GGCCGAACTGATGAGCATACCGACGCCCTCTCACCGACACCTGCCAGTCACCCCCACATCCCTTCCCTCCGGCTGGGGTCGAGGGCCGATCCGCCGGTACCTGTAGCCCGCTCCGACGCACGCCTCCTCCCACCCCACCGCCCCCATCCGTCGTGTGCTGGCGGCCGGCCAGAGGAAACCGGCGTCTCTCGCCACCGATCGGCGCGTTTCAAGTACGGCGGACAGCGCGGCTTCCGACCTCAACGGACGGGCTAACCGTGAACACGCGTGAGGCGCCGCCACGAGTCTGGCCGAGCGACAGCTGAAGAAGGGGAGGGGTCGGCCCGTGACACGTGAATGATACATGAGCGCCGCGCGTCGGGCCACCAGCAGCAGTATCGGTTACCGGGGAACCCGCGCGGCGGCACGGGGAGGTTCATTAATAAACACCGATTACAGCTGGCCGTGGCCGGCCGGTTCCACGAGGGAACCGCACAAGACACCGCACGTGTCTGCACCATCGGCCCGAAGACGTCTTGTTAGCGGCATAAAATTGAATTGCAGGATGGGGTTACGGGGCTCACCTGTCGCTTCGGGACATGGTAACAAAATCGGAACAGGCTAGAGGGGCGCCCGAGCGCATGCAGAAGCAGAGGGGTGGCATCACATTACACATACCTACCGACGCCATCAAACTACCGGCTTCTGCGCGCTCGTACACAGGAAGAAGCGAGGCGCAGTTGTTCATCTACAACGCGCTGTGTGTGCACTTTTTGAGATCCGCTAACGTTCCCGGCTTACCAACATGTCGAACTAAATTAAAAACAAGTGACTAAGCGTAAGCAATTTTAAAGAAATTAACCGGGTCATTGGCCCAGTCTCGATACTTGGCGAGAACCTTCATTATGCACAATAAAGCGAGGAAAATCATATTAAATAGAACTGCTGAAGCTATTTTCCTTGGCAGCAGCCTATTTCTGAAGGAAGTGTGGTGCCACAAAGGGCTTTCGCTGAGCTTTGACTTCATGTGACGCAGAAGTGTTGAACCAGCGCCATCGAAATAGCGGACAAAAACCCGGACACTAAACATGACCCCTAATCCGTCACTTCTTTCAGCGGAACAATGTCGATGCGATCGACCGGGTCATCCACTAGCCGCCAATAGGTGGCCCTATTACTGACTTCTCTCAGCAGAACAATGTCGGCTCAATCTCCCAGGCGCGTACCGTCGGCCACCCCGGACACCTACAGCCAGTTATCGGACATTATCGCTGACACAAACAGTCATCAGCCCACCGGTACGGCGGGGCCGACCACTCCAAACAAACCCGAATCGCTCCACTTTCTAATTGACGGCCGCCACCCACGGCCGCCTATATCACTGCCGCTGCCACGGCCACCTATAACGCCGCTTACAGAGACTGGGCGATGGTCGCGATGGAACGGCGTTTTGCTTCACCCCGTCGTCCAGAATTCACAGCCGTTTTCCTTATCATAGCATAGCGCCTTGAAGCAGCAACCGTTCTAAAACCGCTGACACACTTTCTTCTTCCTAGCTTCGAGGTGGCTTACCGAGCTCAGACCTCGAAACTCACAGCTACTGCATTGTCTCGTGGTCCCATGCTGTATCCGCCCTGCCCCATCCCGGACAATAATTCGGGAACGAGCGACCACCAGACGGACGGCCATGCCAGTGGCTCATCGCACACAGCGTCCGGTTTCGCCGAACTAAGGCGATAACGGCGCAGAGGCGACGCAAGCGACGCAACCCGGCGGCACCGCATAGCTCAGAGGAACCAACTACTGGGCCGAAATCTACACTCACAGTAGCACAGCGGATGCGAAATCAATGTGAAGATGTTCGAGCTAAGTCCAAAAGTGACCCTTTCACCAGCCCCCGCCACCACTAAAAATTCGTACACCAGCCCAAGGTAAGAAAATAGGTCTAATTAGCCATTGTCCATGGTAGACAGTTATGTGAGCGATGAATGAACTACACTGGATGGGCGTTACAAGAGAGGTGCGTCGGGCAGTGCATGGCAGTCTGCCACAGAAGCTACCGGGTACAAAGGCGACAGCGAGCGTCAGGCGCTAAACTCAGCAGACACCGCCCCCCGGTCCGCGGACCATCACAATGTCCACCCCGCTCGGAGCGCCGCTGGGCGCTCACCACCACCAGCCGGCTCGTATGTGTGCACAGCGGCTCGTCTACATAAACATGCGCTGCAGTGTCCGGCCGGCGCGCTGTCGCCATCCCCGTCACCGGCGCTGAGACGGACAGGGTGGGTCGGAAAGGGCTGGCAGGACGCTGCAGGCGGAACGGAATAGAAGGAAGAGTGGACGAGCCGGACGAGACGAACGGATCAACGGCATTGGTCGAATAGAGAGAGCAGAGGATGCTCAACGAAATGGAACGGGCATGGACGGGCGGATAGCTCTGGCACCGTCAAGGCACAATGGAAGGGGACGCAGAAGACCGTCGATCATGCAGACTACCGTATTAGCAACGGCTGCTTGTACGTAAACCCATCTCCCTGGAGAGGCCTGAAGAAAAATACCGACATTCTTGCACCCCAACGCCGTTCTTGAAGTGAAGAGCTAGCACACAGCTAATGATAGCAAGTGTCCACAGTGCAGACTCCAACAGTTTGCACCACTTGAATTCCCTCAGCTCTCTAGTGCCGCGAGCCCCATCAACTTCCTGTGTAGACGGTAAACAACAGTGCACAGTGTACACAACGGCAACAAGGCGTGTGTCATGTGCAGCGTGCACTGTGCACACTGCAATGGTTGGTGCCCCGGATCACGAACCGTGCCGCGCTGACAACGTGAGGTCTTACGGAACCCGACGCCCCTTCCATCATTGGCACCCGGAGTCGGGTCGGGCCGCTATGGTCGCCGCAGTACATCAGGTAAAACCACGGCGGGTGTCTGCCGGGGGCAGTCGTCGCCTGCAGCAATCACGTGACCTACAGGGAGACAATGTACGAGAGGCGTACTGAGAAAGGCGCGGGCAAGTCAAACATCTGCCGTGGACCCACACCAGCCACCCGCTGCCGCTGCTGTCACGCTGCAGTGTTGAGCGCAGAGAGCGGCCAGCCTCCATAAACACCGCAGCATCACCGGGGGACGAGCGTGCTCCGCGCCATCCAGCGCCGCTCCTTCTCTGGCTCCATTTCACTCATTGCAGCGGGGCGCCCGCTCCCCCGAGGAGACAGCGACGCAATGCTCGCGCGACTTACGCGGCCGAGTCAATGGACGCGCGAGCGCGGATAAACACGGGAACAAAGCGACGCTGCAGAAGCGGGGCGGTTGCAGAGCTATCGGGCGCATCAGGCGACTCGACGGAGATGTTTGCCGGCTCGTCGTATAGAGGTCGCCATATATAGATGTGCCACCGCATCCCAATAGCTGCTTGTCGCGAACGTAATCCAATCAAATTAATGGGGCGTGCGGGTCTCTAACCCGGCCAATAAATCGTCGTTATTGGGCAGCTCAGACGCGACGCAAAGGGGGACGTCGAGCGGAGATGATCCTACAATTTGCTGACACAGAGGAAGCCCAAAGGGCGAATGCGTGATAGAAACGGACGAGTCCCGAGTATATGGCAAAGACAAATACACTTCGAGGAACCTGTTGCCTCCTCAGTTCTCCTTGCAGCGGTTTGCACAAGTGGGCATATCTGTTGCTTTTGGCACTAGGCGACTTTAAGCTGGCATTCCGTCTCAAAGCCCATTAGCGCGTCTCTCTCGCACGACGCGATCCGCATTCAACTATCCCAGCACGAGTTGGTGCAAAGAGTTTCTTGACGAAGGAATGTGAGAACAAGTTGAAGGCTTGCCATTAAAGACACATTTTCTTCTCTTCCTTCCCAGTCTCTCCCTTTTGTTCTCCTGTTGTACCCTCCCACCGCTCAGCTCCCTCCAAGTTGCACGTGTCCCCCCTCTCCACCCGTCATCAGGCCGGCCTGACGGTGAGCGCGACACACCTCGCCAGGAGCTCGGCGGCATTGTGGAGCTGCTCAGCGGCCCATTCACCGGGCGGCCAGCTGCGCCGGTACCGGCGGCGACGCGCCGCATCTGCCGCCGCGCCGCTGACCCAGATCACACACAGCGCGCCGCGCCACTACCGCCGCCGCCGCGCCGTCACCGCCGCAACGCTGGAAATAACCAACGTCCGCCGGCGCGGGCGGGGCGACACGGCACACAGCACGCCAGCCGATATGGCCGGCGGACTGCCGGCGTGCCGATGTGCCCGCGGACGGCGGCTGGGCAGCGGTGGTGGGGAGGGGAGAGTAAATGCTGGAGGTGGGTTGAGGAATAGGAAACCAGTGGAGATACAAGTACACCTATTTAGAATAGAGCACTAAGTAGCGAAACGGACCGCCGAGGGTACCTCTGAAAGTTGACGTGCCTATTCGACAAGGGTCATGAAGAATTAGCATCACAATATGGATTTAGGACCAACAGGCCGGCCTTGCAGCAGTCACAAGCTTCGGAAAAAAAACACTGGCTTCCGATTTACATGATTATGGGACTAAGGAAACCTTGACAAGTGCCAAGTAGCGGTATTTTTTGTGCGGCCCTGACTGTTGAACTTTATCTCACAACGTCAGCTTATCGACACAAACACAAAACACAAGTCGGAAAGCCCGACAGGTAGCGATGACGGTTTGACGGCGACAGGAAAGGCCTTGATTGCAGGCCGAGGCCGCCAGCACGTGGGCTTGGGTGGTCGGAGACGCTCGTGGAGGTCGGCTCCTCGTGCCGTGTATTACGTCACCTGTGAAAGGAGCGCTGGCCAGCGGCGGCGGCGGCGCGAATCGTGCCGGTGAAGGGGGCCGGAGGCGGCCCGGGAAGACACGCGCGGAAACTAGACAGCAGACAACGGAAACAGCGGCCCGGCGGAGAAAAAACGGTGTTCCTGCACACCATTTTCTCTCGCTCAACTACAAAAAAGTCGCGGTGTTTCACCATTCGCCGCTAACATCGTCCCTCGGTGGGATTCGAACCCAGACTCACCTGCGGCACTTGTGGTGTTACGCAGCACTTGAACCACTGCACCCAGATGTCACCTCCCGTGACGTTCCGGTGGAACGACATGGTGCCGCCGGGCGTTCACAGGTCACAGGTCACCGGCCACCGAGGGTCACGGGTCACGAGGGCGCCGGCCCTGGTCACGGGCGGAGGGCTCTCTGCGATGGAGTTTATTCACGGAGCATGGTGAGCGTCCGGCGGAGCGGGCGACGTCCCACCGACTGGTGACGGTTCGGCACCTGCGAACAGAGCGGAGACGCTGGTCACGGCACGGCGACGGACCGCGACACGGCACGGCGACGGAGCGGGAGATACAACACGGCACGGAAGATACGGATGGCACGGATAACACGGAAGATAGGATGGCACGGAAACACGGGTGGCTCGACGGCATACGCAGTAGGTACGGATGGGTCAAGAGGTACAGACTGGACCGCATTGAATATATGGACTGTCGGGCGGCACGGAATAGGGGAGAGTGGGGTAATTTGGCCGGTGGTGTAAATTGGCCGCCCCCACCTGTACAATGTCTAATAAAAGTGAGTGAAATAACTCTAGTCTCTATTCATTTGTCATGGGTAGAAATAACTGGAGGACAAATGTCAAAACTTTGCCCCTCATAGTTTTATTCAAAATTAATAAAACGTTAATTTCATTAGAAAATGGTAACTTTTACTTTTGTTTACAAAGTTGTATAACATGTAGTGTTTGGGCTAAAAACGAATTCAGACATTATAGCGCCATTCTTGGGGGTGTTCAGCGGTTCCAAGAGCAATTTTATCTAATTCCGTATAGCCGTGATGACTTTATAGACAAAAATTTTCAGAATGGCAATATGGGGTAATTTGGCCGGGACTAGCGGGGCAACTTGGCCGGTGCGCTCAGAGTCACTATGCTGGGGCGGCCGAGTTTTCATGGTCAATTGTACCATAAATGACATGATTCATGACCAACTTTGACTACTTCGATGCCTTACTTTCGATTGGTCAACTGTAAGAGCATGTGACGTCATCAAAGGTTACCAAACGTTTTTTGCTAATAAATCCTTACATAAAAATGGTACAGCCGCACAAATGGTCTCATTCTGTTCAGCTCGCCAAAGCGCATCGAATGATATGCATGATGACCTTGAAATCACGTAACCTTGAGGTCAAGCGACCCGATGCAACGTGACCTGAGGTCAACCTTTGACCTTGACTTCTCAAGGTCAACACATATATCTTTCGATGCGGACTGACGAGAGAATTACGATGGTACTCGAAGTTTTGGCCTAGCTTGATTACTTCAAAAGTTATTCGTAAAAAACTGTGATCGCATCTAGAGCCGCTAATTTGGCTATTTTGACCCCTGTGACCCCTGAGTCAACCTCCAAAATGTGGCAAATGCGTCATAGGACACCGTCATTGCTGAATCTGAAGCTGACTCGCAATATAACAGAAAATCCCGACCGCAAACTAACACCGGCCAAATTACCCCACACCCCCGGCCAAATAACCCTGCTAGTGGGGCAATTTGGCCGCCTTGCAGACCTTTGTAATACGTCACAATTTCAATATAAGTAATTACTCTATCATTTCAAATTCACTGTCCAGTAAAGTAAAATGAATGCGACACCTGCCAGCGTTGAGAAAATGCAGAAATATGTCGTCAATTTTAAGTTATATCGTTTTCTAAAAAAAGCGGCCAAATTACCCCACTCTCCCCTACACTGTCAGAACAGATAGGGGTGGGCTGGATGCCACCGCGACGGGACCGGAAGTCCAGTGACGGGTAGGACATTTGGCCAGCAATAGTGACGGGCTAGGTGACAGGGCCGATACTGCGAGAGACGCGAGTCGCGACATCAGCTGACATGTCGCAGATATGACCGAGATAGCGCGACGGTCGCGACAGGTGTAGCAGATAAGGAACGGTAGAAAGTAGACGACGTTGTCTATTGCATAACGTACGACTGTCACACTGGTGACTTCAGTACAGAGGCTGGCCCTTTAACATCGATGATACACTGCTGAGAGACTAGAAGGGAAGAGTGAGCTCAAGCCAGAGCGCATTGACATACAACTCTTTTGCATCGCTGAAACTAAGGCATGGTAGGTAGTTTGAAGTGGTTAGTGGTGAGTCAACTTCTGCGATGCACTGCGCCCAACCAGTGCGTCAGGACAGGCCAGTCTATTTCGATGGCGGTAATCGTGTTTACATAGGTGCTGGACGTGAGGCGGGCGTCGACCTCTCACTCTTGGCTGCCTATCGGTCTGGCGCAATGACTCGGCAGCCTACAGAGCACGGCGCATTGTGTGTGACTCACCAGCGCCAGTTCTATGCCACCCATCGCTGGCCGGTCGCAGAGGCGAGGATTCTTTTGTGTACGGCGTGACGCCCAGCCATGCGGACCGTTAGCGATCCACCGTACCGTCCTTGACTTCCAACGGCCGAATGGAACCGAAGCTCCACCACATACCGGCACGCCCGCAAAGGACGGCCATGGGTATCACGACAGAGATCGACGGACATCGCCGAGGGCATCTAATCTGCCGGCACGACACCGGCGTGCAAACAGGCAGAGCGTTTCCAGAAACCGCCGTCCCGGCCAACTGCAGGAATCTCGCCGCGCTGCGTTCCGGTAGATAAGAGACCCTCATTAGCAGAACCAGAGTTCGTGACAAAGGGCACCTGCTGAAGACGGGCCGGACGGGTGGGGCGTTGCATCTGCACGGCGCAGAATGCAGCCACTCCCTAGGGGGCCTCTGGAGACATCCGTCAACAAGGCGTCCATGCAGACATCTGTCACCGCCTCGTGGTGCAGCCGCACCATGCCCCTTCCCTTCCCGGCCCTGCCCACATTCCAGACCAGGGCAGTCGGCAGACCCTGAGGCGCCACTGTCGGCGACAGAGGACGCACCCTGTGCCGGGAGGGGCTGTGATAAACAGGAGCTTCTGTCAGCCATCACGATGCAGATCGTGGGCGGTCACACTGCCGCCGAACGGTCACAGTGTTCATGAGGAAGCTGACAGCCAGCAAGGCAGGGACGGGCGAATGGCGAGGTACTCATCATGATTACAATGTCCGCTGGAAAGCCGAACTCGACAGTTCCCAGCAGAACAAAGCCTAACACAGGTGACAATTAGCCAACACCACCCCCACTCGTCGCCAAGTGAATTTCCCATCGCTGCCGCTGGCAGCCAATCTGCGGCGAAAGTCTCCACTGACGAACTGGTGCGACAAACTGACGCGGCGCCGTGGCCGGTCGTTTTCCCAGCACCGCCACGCCAGCCAGACTGTCGTGATCGGCCGTCCGGGAACGTTGTCACGCCGCGGGATTATCTGATCGATCATCGGCGGACGCGACGTCACATAGAGTCTCGACTGAACAGTTGACTGCGCTGGACTTCGTCTCACTACGGCTGTCCGTTGCACCTGACCGCGAAGGAACTCAATAATTCCCCCGGATGAACAACGACACTGTCCAACTGCGTGCTGGAAGGAGAGAGGCCATCGGCGTGCGAATCGCACCACCGGAACTTTCTAGCCGCTGGGAAGGAAGTAACGCCATGCAACGGTGCGTCCACCCACTTCTTCCTAGCAAGATCTTGGGGCCATACTGGGAACAAAGGGTTTTCCTGAAATGTGCTCTGAGTAACGAGGGAAGAAAGTTGTCGGTAGACTTACCTACACGTTGTGAAATATGGACGGCACGTGGTTGAAGAATAGTTAGGACGTTAAACGTGAATGAAGATGACAAAGAACTGTTGTAAAAGCATGTAACAGCCATCAAAGCTACCACTGGAATGGAAAAATAAGTGCTTGCGCAACTGAGGATAAAATCGATCAATCCATCCAGTCTGGCAGCTTTTTATGCTCATCATACTTTGCTGTCTTGGACGTCTGCGCTGTAAGCGTCACCCTTTCACTTTGTCAATCTGAAATATTGATGTCCCTCGCTGCCAATCGCGGAGAACACGAAGGTACCGAAACATCGAAGTCACCAGAAAATAGTTAATAGCTGACGTAGCTTTTAAGTATCACCGACGTCACCAGTCAACGTGACACGTCAGTAGGTATTTGGACGTCACGTGTCGCCACCACCGATGTTTGGCGCGAGACAGGGGGTGATTGGCCCGTCGGCGTGACCCACTCGTCACCCAGCGGAGCGCCGTCTGAGCTGGCCAGCACCCCGGCCCGGCGGGAACTGTGTCAGACGCCTCCCACGACGACCAGCGACTGGAAGCGCGCGGCCATCTCCTTCGCCTCAGCGCTCATCAGGGACCGGTGGCCAGAACGGCGACGGAGAAGCATGAGAGACATCCGTCCGCCAAGGGAGCGCCATGTAGCGCGTCAATCTCATCGTAACCCAACCGGGGGCGTGGGCACGATTTATGAGCAGCGTTCTGTTTAGTTCGGCTGCGGCCGGGCCGATTCCATGACATCATCATCTGTGGGAGGTTGGCGAGAGTTTCGGCTGCGGCTGACCTCGGGGTGAAGTACGGCGGCGGCGAGTGACACGAACGGGCCTCGACGGTGCGTCAACAACCAGCCGTCGGTCACGTGATGGCGCCCGGGGCGATCCGAGACGTCATTGTGGGATGATTGGAGACACCCAAGCCCCTCCCAGACAAACAACGACCACCTGAGACTATTCAAGGCGCGGCGCCAATGATGAATTCCACGAGAGCGAGGTCACCTCACCCCGGTCGGCTCATGCTCGTCACCGGGTGTTTCTATGCACCTTGCCACCACTCCGGGAACTGGGTGTCATGTGGTCGGGTACTGTTCACGTGCCAACTGACTGGCCGCTAAGAAAACAAGCAGCCCGCCGAGTCAGACGGAGGGCCAGGCCAGGCGGCGCGGCGCCCCCGGGACCGACGATGACAGATTTGCGGTCGGTGGGTCGCTTGACCCGGTCACACCGGAACGGCGGCACCGTGCACAGATGCGGACCAGGTCAGGGACGCCAGACGGACGCAGCACGGCGGGCAGGCGATGGGTGAAGGCTGTCGTCGGAGCTGAGAATCTAAAATAGCTCATTGTGTCCGAGATATGACGACATGTAACATAAGGCGTACCGATTTTTTGGCTCCAATAAGGTAAGACGTGCCAATTTTTTGGTCCAATTACCAATTCTAGATGCTGGGCTTTGAGCTCTCTGAAAGCCAACAGCCTAAGTTCCGTCAGGATGTAGCTGGCTTTTTCGTCCACATAATGACATGGTGCTTTCATACCATATCTTTGTAGATGACATTC